TATTATTAGAGTCCCCACAGTGTTCATCAAAGCCATCTTAAAATGGTATAAATTGTGGGTTGCATTGTACCATCTGTGTGTGCAGACAAGATCACCGTCGGTACATTATTTGTTGAACGTGGGACGATATTTATGGGGGCCATGGATCAATATGCAGGTAGGACGCACATGGATCCATGGTAAACAGGGGTCCTATCGAACGTTTTCACTCTGTACTGTTCAAGGTACTATCCACATAGCAACATGACATCCTAAATTGATACTCGGACCTCTTAATTTGATATTATGACATCTCAGATTGATATTCGGACGACTTGAACTGTAAAAAGGTATAGTTTTAATTGGCCAGTCACGTCGACCTTTGTCACGACACCGTCTTTCGGCTTATGTGGCTTTTATACAATAGCCAGGTGACCAGCCTGAAACCCACCACACCCTTGTCAGACCGTTTTTCACTTTTGAGTTACGCGATGCAGCACTTCTTAGATCTCAAAATATGTTGGAATCAGCACAGATCGCTCATCTCACTCTGGTATCCAGGATTATGGCTCGTACGGAGATACTTCGAACGTGACTACTTGTGTCATGAAAATGAAGGATTTGATTCGATTAAGTGGTGTTGAAACCCAATTTGGTCGAAATAGTTGACAAGGGGTTTCCAGTTCACACTGCATTTGCTCTGTACGCCGCGAAATTCACCACACAAATCAAATCAAATTCTCCACTCTCATGTAACTTCCGTTTCCCCCTGTCGCAAAATCCTGACAAGCGCGCAAAAAACTTGGACTGTTATTCAAATTTAGAAGTCGCATTCAATAAGTGCCATAAACGATGGTCCTACTTTGGTATAACCGTATGGACCAACCGACTACCAATAATCAGTTGTCAGTTGCGACAAAGTTCATCGCAGTTACAAATAAGCTTCACAGCTCAACCTTCCTTCTCACCTGTATCGCACATCGTTGGTGGTTTAATGATCTTTTCCGACGATGATGAAAACGCTTTGGACGCCTCGGAATTACATCCACAAACTCTGGCCTAGGTGCACCGCAGCGAAACCGTTTCATGTCCTTGCGACATGATATCAAACCAACCACAAAGAAGCTCTTGTAACACAACGGACAATTGCCAGAGATCGATGTTATGAGGTTCGATGGTTCCTCAAGAAAACTCTGGAAGTTCTTGAATAGCTTCAAGGTGGATGTTGCAGTCCGTTTGAATGTTGATAGAGAATCGCCATCACCAATGTACTGGCAAGGCCAGAGAAGCGATGAAAGACTGTGTGATACTACCCAGAACCCTAGAGAACACGAGGGCCATGCAAATAAATACTGGGAACACAGTTAAGCTGCTTCGATGACACCGTGGAAAGTCTTTTAGAGGAGCTACTTCATGGCGGTAAAATCAATACTGGATACGTCTCTGGTTTCGGAAAACTTGTTCATCAAGCGAGCAGTTACGGAATAGCATTGAAACAAATGAGCTACGAATCCGCTTCGAATTACCCAATCACTATCTTTCGCCGACTGCCTGAATACATGCAACCCAATGGGGCCGATATAATGCCAAGTAAATGGGAATATAGCTTGAAAATTCGTTTTATTCCTTGAAATACTTAACCTTGAGCCGTTTATGTTGCATGTGGCCGTCTCAAATTAGGTCGGGGAAAAGCAAATACAATTGGGGAACGATAGTCTGAGTTTATTGTATGGTCATAGTACGACACGTTCATATTTAGGGCAAATGGAATAGACCGGTACTACACAATAACGCGACAATCAGATTACGCCTTTGACTCTCCAATGGAGTTGATCTTCCAACTGTGCTCTGATTCGTTCTACAGCCATCCGATCCTGACTCGACGCTTTTATCTTGGCAAACCCGCTTGTGGTGTTACACTGATCGGTGTGCAGTCTACGGACTTCTGTAAGCTCTGTCCTACCAATTCTCGTCCCCTCCTCCCAATGAAGTTGAATTGCTTGGTGATCACGAATTCGCCTTTCGCGGTATGCCTGAGGTGGATTTGCGTTTGTGTTCTAGGCTGGTTCTGTCACAGGATTGCAGCAGTTATTCTCTCGAGAGCTGTGTTTTAGCATTTGGTTAGCATACTTTACCCAGGTGTTCAAACCAACTTGGACATCACAGCTCGTGTCAACATGACCTTCCTTTGGCAATCTACGGTTCATTTTGGATGATTCATTTTATGGTCTTTCACCAGAACGCTTTGGCCGATATGAAACGCTCACCGACGAACACAATGTCTTCTACCGAACTGCTCTTCTATTTTGGCGTTTCCGAACCAGGTTCATTCCTTTTGAGGTTTCATAGCTTAGTGTGAATCCACAACTTCCTTCGAAGTCGGTTTTTGACCGTGGATACTGCGCTCGCCACTTGCAAATTGCTGGTCGTGCGATTCATTAGAACAAAAGTATCATTGTTCTGTCCCAGAATGTCTTCTTTCTCCATTGTTCACTTTATATTTGAGTCAACCACTTGCTGTTCGCATTTACTGGTAAGACTGCGCCTTTTAATTTGATGCTGTTGCAAATTGGATTCAATGGGGCCTTCAACAGTCAAAGGTCATGAGTCCATTCCCCATAAAGAGCGTTCCAGCTTGGTCGATTTTTGGTGTACAATACCAGTAGTGTGGACAGGGTTGTTTCGTATTTCGCTTCGTGGAATGCGAGGCTTATATGCATTGTCTCTCCATCGATATATATATATGTATCATTGTTCATTGTTCTTCTGTGATCTCTCATTTACACGTAAAGGTCTCGCGGAGGCATGCGAACGCTCAACCGAGTTTCACTTCCCAGAGCTGAGCTTTCAGCTGAGTGAGATTCGACAAACCTGTTGCCGTATCGCATCTGAATGCTCTGGCCCGAATTCGGTACTGCGACGTCCCTCTCAAAGAAGTAAGTTGTTTTACACACACACACACACAGACATTTTTTCTTACGTGTTTATATTGATTATGTCTGTCAAGGTGAATTCGTTTATTTTGTGATTCAAGCTAATATCTGTCAGACTCCGTGTTCTAGGTTGTGCTATCCACGAGCTGTCACCACTTGATATTCCATAAAAAAGTTCACATTGTGGCATGTGACAGTAGTTCGCGACTGACTGGCGGACAACATATCTTGGCATATATTCCACTGAATCTGAATATCCTGCACTTAATGAAGAGTTCCTTGAAATCGTATTCCCCATAGACACATTTAAGCAGACCGAAACACTTGTGTACAATATTTCAAAG